ACTACTAATAGTAACTAACAACAGAAATCTAGGTATCTTCAAAATTCCTTTGCTTATCTGTAGACATCCAGGATCTCAAAAATTGTGGCACAACACTTTTTTTTCATCTTTGAAGCTATCTTAATAAAATATTTTAGCAGTAAATATTTACTGCTGAAAGATACCTGTTACCATTCCTACACCCAGAAAATGACATAAGTCCTTGACTTATGATCATTCATAACAGTGACTGTTCAAACTTATGATGGTGCTGAAAAAAGTGATTTATGGCTGGTCAACATTTGTGTGGCATCCTTACCTCATGTGATGAAAATTTCAGTACTTGGCAATCAGCATGTATTTATGATGACTGAAGCATTCAAGAGTCATGTAATTGCCATTTGTGACCTTCCCAGATGGCTTCTGACAAGCAAAGTCAATGGGAAGCCAGATTCACTAAACTGTGTGAATCACCTAACAACTGTGGCAAAAAAAGTCATTAAAATTAGCTGCAATTCATTTAACAATTATCTTGCTTAAGGGAAGGAAGTTGCAGCCCAATTGTGGTCATAATTTGAGGGAAACCTCTACTATGCATGAAAAGACATAATGTACAATAAGAAATAACTATTTCAGTTCATAACACAAGGGAAAGATTCATGAAAAATGCAGCACTGGCAGAAGATGCACATTTTTGCTGAAAATGGGCATTGGTTCCTACCTGTTGCGCCCTTTCTCAGGACAGTGGTGACATCATCCAGGCATGAGTATGACTCCGTCAGAATCCAATACAACTGGGTCTACAAGTATTAAAGACACGGCCACTAGGCTCCTCCCCAGAAATAGATGAAGGAGTGACTTGTAGACCGCTATGTAAACGATCTGAAACAATAGATATTATCTCTCCCCAAGGAAAACAGTAGAGAAGAAAAACCAGGAGAAAGTCAAAGTAACAGGGTGGGGCTGGATGATTTCTCCACCGTCCTGAGAAAGGGCGTATCAGGTAGGAACCAATGCCCATTGTCCAAGTAGGTGGAGACATCATCCAGGCATGGGACATACCAAAGCCCAATAGTCCCATTGGGTGG